GAATAAGCTCCAATATTGTCATACCGTCATGTATAAGACATCTTTTTCTTTTTCTTTTTCTTTTTCTTTTTTGAATAAGCTCCAATACTGTCATACCGTCATGTATAAGACATCTCTTGTTCTCTTTTTCTTTTTCTTTTTCTTTTTCTTTTTCTTTTTCTTTTTCTTTTTTCTTTTGTCACAAACTGGAAAACAGGAGTTTCAACCTAAACATAAGGAAATACTTCTTTACCATGAGGGTAATGGAGCACTGGCACAGGCTGCCCAGGGAGGTTGTGGTATCTCTGTCTCTGGAGACACTCAAAACCTGCCTGGATGTGTTCTTCTGTGATCCTGCTTGATGATCCGTAGGGGATCCTGCTCTGGCAGGGAAGTTAGACTAGATGATCTTCCAACTCCTACCATTCTATGATTTTTTTTGAAGCTGTGTTTGCATTCTAAGACCAGGCTTTCAAGTAGAAGACCAGCTTGATGCTAGGTGAAATACAATAATGCAAACTGCAATGTGGCTTTAAATGTTTAAGGTTTGCAGTCTTGCTGTATTTTTCTGACACTGTAAGCAAAGGTCTCTGAATGGGTAGATGGGTTTAAGGTGCATGCAGCCAGAATTAATGAAAAATGTGTTTGAAAAAGATCTATGGAGAATAGCTCTGTACAAAACATTACTATCGTCTCAGTAATGTGGTTCTGAAACTTTCCTTAAATTTTTCCTTTTGCTCTTCATCCCTGGAGGTGTTCAAGGCCAGGCTGGGTGAGGCTTTGAGCAACCTGCTCTAAGGGGAGGTATCCCTGCTGTGGCAGGAGGATTGGAAGCAGATAATCTTTAAGGTCCCTTCCAACTCAAGCCATTCTATGATTCAGCATCAAAATTTAGGGTTTAATGCTGACAATTTATTGAGTGCAGAGTGACTGAAGTAATACTGTGGTTCTTGCTGATACGAGTAGGTTTTCCTTTTTTAGCCATAGAGGTGTATGTGAGAGGGGGAAGGTAGGTCAAAATTCCTTCAGATTTCTTGAAAGTGGTTTAAGATCTGTTGAAGCATTTCATTTTGAATCAAAATAAATATTTCGTGGTAAGTTTTTTCCTTTATTTTATTAACCTGAAGGTGACTTTTAGACAGAAAAGTAGTTTTGAATTTAAAGATGTAAACATGTCATTTTAGAATGTTAAAAGAGAACAGTTCTTTGAATAGCTCTTGGATAGTTTTCCCAGAGCGTGTGGTTGTATCTGTGTTGCAGCAATATCTTGAGCAGCTCCCTGCTCTCCCTGGGTTGACGTCCTTTCCTGCACTGTCCTAGTTTTAGCTTCTTTTTGTGTGAGGGTGACAGAGCACTGGAACAGGCTGCCCAGAGAGGTTGTAGAGTCTCCTTCTCTGGAGACTTTCAAAACCCACCTGGATGCGTTCCTGTGTGGCTGCCCTAGGGGATCCTGCTCTGGCAGGGGGGTTGGACTAGATGATCTCTAGAGGTCCCTTCCAACCCCTGACATTCTGTGATTCTATGATTTTGTGGCAAAGGAACACGAGGGTGTGACCCCAGAGTAGATGATCTTTCAGGCCCCTTCCAACCCCTGAGATTCTATGATTCTTCATGGTGATGCGGTAAATTGGAGGACCTGTTCCAGAGGGAAAAATAACCGTAGTAACTTTTTTTAAGAGCTACTTCTGTTTTTATTATTTTTTTAAACTTTGTGTCCCATCTAGCAAAATACAGAAATTCTTTAGCACAAGCAGTGAGCTTTCTGCTGAGAAAGATGGATCGACCACTTCCAAAGACAGCACAGCTGAATCATGGTGGTGCGGTAAATTGGAGGACCTGTTCCAGAGGGAAAAATAACCGTAGTAACTTTTTTTAAGAGCTACTTCTGTTTTTATTATTTTTTTAAACTTTGTGTCCCATCTAGCAAAATACAGAAATTCTTTAGCACAAGCAGTGAGCTTTCTGCTGAGAAAGATGGATCGACCACTTCCAAAGACAGCACAGCTGAAATGGCATCAAAGAACCAGGAGGGTACAGCAGAAACACCAAAGCAGAAGTTGTTGGACCTTATTGGTAATATGAAAGTAGAAGTGAGCTACAGGAAGAAGCTCCAAGAGATAAAAGCACGTGAGATTGCAAAGCAAGCTACAGACAAGCTGGAAGGCCCAGACAGTGAAGGTGCTGCGCTTCGGAGAACTGCAGAACACATCCAGCGGTAAAGTATAACAAATTTTTCTTAGTCTATTTTCTCTTTTTAATTCAGGTTGATTTTTTTTTTCATTCTCTAGAACAAAACAAAACATCAAATGCCATTTCTAAGCATGGAAAAGAATTTGTAGAAGAGCATGGTGTACAGGTGTAGGTGGCGGTTGATCACAGGGAAGAATCTGTACAAAAGATGTGTGTTTTCTACCGTACACTACCTTATTCTGCACTGAGACTTGAAAAGTAGCGCTAGAATCTGCCTGTGGAAAGTTATTTTAATGGAAGGGGAGAAATAGCACTCAGATAAAATACAATGAAACTGAGGAAAAGGGAAAAAAAAAAATTAACAAATGGCGTCGTGATTGTCAAGTCTTGCAAGTAGCTCCCCTCAATGACGTGCTAGATCGTGCTGGTAACCCCACGTGTCTCTGCTGCCTGTGGTCTCCCAGCTTGACACCTGAGCGGCTTTGCATCGGCGTAGGGCTGCCGTTTGCCCAGGTCTGAGAACGAGCACTTGTCAGCGTCATTTGGCAGTGGATGATTAGTGCAACTTAGGGCAAACCTGGCCACCCCCACTTGACCTGATGCGTAACTGTAACTTCTGCATTATTAAGACACAAAGCAACTGTACAGAAGTGACATTTAAATATATCAAGACTTATATTGTTGTTGGTTTTTTTGCATTTCACTATCTTTTGTGTCCCTTACAGAGTCAAGCCTTTAAATCCAGAACTGGTGGAGGCTGCTTCTGCTGTTGCATCTTCCCTGCCACTCAACAAGAAACAGACAGAATCAGAGCTACTTGCACAACTAAGAAGACACGAAGAAACTACAGATAAGCAGAAAAAGGGAGGAACTATTAACATACGGTCTGTTTACTGAATATTATTCTCAATAATGCTTGAAATCCTGAATTTGCAATGTCATCTTGAAGGTGATTGGGTTGTGTTTGAAAGATGGCCCTAAAAGATAATTTGGACAGATTATCCTGGATATTAATCAATATTGGGAACATCCCTGGTCTGGTTATAACAAAATCCCTAAATTTTGCCATCCTCGTTCTAAAATGGTTTTGCAGAAGTAGGATTGTTTTCCTACCCAGGATCATTACTTTCTTGGACAGGCTAGCAAAATAACAGATTTTTTTTTTTTTTTTCCTAAGCTTCTGAAACTCTCACACAATGGATGGATTTGTAGATGGTTCAGACGTCCTGTCTGACCTGGTGATTTTTCATGACAGCTCTGCAGAACTGAACTAGAGCAGCTCTATTTATAGCCCCACCCTTCCTTTCAAAACTTTCCAGTCAACACAAGAAACTCATCTTTTGGCTTAACTCCGTTTCCAGTGTGGCTTTCAAACAGATGAGAAACATTAGCTTGAAAACCGAAACAGTTTTGAATACTTGTTCTTTTGGACGATGGCTGAAGACATATTTTTTCTTTCTTCTCCCTACCCCCGCCGCTAGTATTCAGATAACTACTGAGAAAATAAGGCATTAAATCCATGTGGAATGCTGAACTAAACAGAAAAGGGGATTTTCAGCAAAATAGGAATGTGAAACCTTTATTTCTGGCTGTTTGCAGTGTGAACTGCAAGCCACCTATCTTAAGTTTTAAATTATTCTGTGAAAATGAGTTTGTCCCAATCCAGGATTTAAGTGTGACCCATGTATTAATATTTGTAGGTAGCTCTAGGGGTCAGTAGAGGATCTGCCTTGCATGTATTTCTGCGTACTGCAAACAGAGCAGCCGACAAGCTGGTGTTAGTGGCTCATATTTGTCTTTTAAAAATGAGTGAAAACTAAGGAGGAACGCGACAGATGCTTGCGAATAGGTGCAGTTAGATGGTTGCAAAGAGGCTCGAATACACAATGCTCTGTGCATTTTATTTAACAGAGTTATTCACCTTCTTCAGAGGGTGTGAAGGGAAAAGGGAGAAACTATGCAAGTTTCCTTTTAGCCTGTGTTCGTGATTCTCTACCAAGAGTGCTCATGGTGGTTGTGGAGAGGAGAATGAAATTCTCTCCAAATGTGTGAGGTCTGTGCTATTTGAGGAGGAAGTAGAGCTTTAGGAAGTACATCTCCCAAGGCTGTGTGCTCTGTTTTCATAATATACTTTCAGCCTGAGTATAGGAGATCTCAAGAACTTGACAGAAGCTCTTGGAGCCAAAATGTGTAGCTTTAAAAGTTAGAGATCTGGCTGGTTTATGTAATCTTGATGTCTTTCTGTGTAATTTTTTTGGTTGTTTTTTTTTGTGTGCAATGTTACCAAAGAATTTTAGAGACACTTGCTAGTGTACAAAGAAGGAAATAAGGACTATTTTATATAAAACTTATGTTTGTTAAACTATTATTTATCCCTGGGGTTGTTCAGAGGAGCAGAGTACACAAGTGTCTTAACAGTGGCATTGGCTGTGGGTGGCCAATTTAAACATAATTAGAGCCTACTTCGGTACTTGAGAAGGTGTTGGAGGACCGTGCTGATACTGAGTGAGCTGAAATGTGCAGTGGCCAAATTCATACGTGCCTGCATCTATTCCTGGTCTGCTCACTGGCATTAAGGGCTCGCTGTCCTCACCACTCATTGCCCTTTCCCTCAAAGCACTTACCAGCTGTGGCTGCTGTGGAAGAAAGAATGTGTCTTTAAGGAAGCTGTAGTCTAAGCAAAAAGGCTTTTGCTTTTTTTTTTTTTCTTTTCTCTCTTGCCCAAAATTAAATTCTTCAGAAATTTAGAAGCCGGAGTCCCCGCAGCTGTATAGTGCCTCTATGTAGTTGATGGGTTAAGACATGCTATTACAATATTTTAGAACATGCTTGTGGATGAATCACAATGGTTAGAAAAATGCATTTTCCTCAACCAAAACCATCCTTTTTTGGTTGGCTAGGAATGTCATGGCTGGCTTGCTCTGCTTTGAGTTGGCAAGTTCTACTTCATGAGGCAGGTTTGTGAACTAGCTTACTTCTATCTGGAAATACATGTCAATTTTTTTTTTATTATCTGCTGAAAAGTTCTGTTTTCTTCTTTAATAGTTAAATAACAGTTTGAAACTATTTATTAATGGATGAGTTTTCTTGAAAGACCAGCAACTCCTGCTGGTTTTCATGACTGTAAGCTTGGTTAATGCTGACCTTTCACAGAATCACAGAATATCAGGGGTTCGCAGGGACCTCAAAAGATCATCCAGTCCAGCCCCCCTGCCAGAGCAGGATCACCTACAGTAGGTCACACAGGAACACGTCCAGGCAGGTTTTAAATGTCTCCAAAGACATTTCACAGTTAGATCCTGAGATGAATTTGGTACTTTCAGCTTTCCGATCAGTGCTAAAACTGTTGATTTTAAGAAGTCCAGCAGAAGGCAATAAAATACTTTTAAGAGGTTAGAAAGTAATTGCTTTTATTCATACATGATTATTTTGTGTTGATTTTTATTTGACAACAAGAGAATATGGGCAGTCCTTTTCCTTTTTTCCCATAAAGGTTTTGCATTCAATGTAGTGATGCCTTTTAAAAGATAGTAGATATTCCTCTGTTGTTTAAAAATTAGATACGTTCACAAGCAGTAGAGCCATGTAATTCTCAACTGAAAAAAAATTGGCATACTACTATTTTGATTTATGAGGCTATGAAATAAATTGTGTGTTGTCTGGATCTTTCGGTTTATATTACTTTTTTTTCCCCCATGATTGTGGCGTGGCCTCCAGAGGTCACTGTTGTTTGCAGTTGTCACCTTGTTTTCTAGACAGTGTTGAGGACAGTGTGTTCACTAGGAGGGGAAAATATTAATGATACAGGAATTTATTTTTCCCAGTGTGGGATGGAGTTTCACTCAGTGGAAATTACAACGGCACTATACCAAAATAAAATCTGCAGCACTACTAGTTGAAATTTCAGCTCCTGTTTTGGATGATAATGATGAAGAAAAGTAATTCTGAGATTAGGCTAAAACGTATCCAAAGCTCCTTAGGTCTTCACTTTTAGTATTGTAATTATTGCTTGGTAATCAGGAAGGAGAGAGGATGTGTGGTTGTTACAAAAGCCTTACTTCTGTAATACTGAACTGCTGTAGGTACAAGCTTGTAATCTGCTTTTTTTTATTACAAAAGGCATTCATCTTTGTAGTTTTATTTTTAGTTAATATAGGGACGCTTTAAGTGATGGAGTGATGAATGTTCCTGCCAGAAATGTTCGTATACCCCTGATGAGGTGACATTAAGACATCCCAGTGAGAAATATGATACCATTGACTGCATGTTCTTGTAGCTTGGTAGCATTGTCTGTCCAGACCTGCTGTGCAAAACCACAAATAAATCAAGGTCAGCTGTGAGGAGAGCTGCTCTGAGCAAGCCTGATCCCCCTGAAGTATGGGAACACTCCAGCCTTTTAGGTCACAGCCGAGTCAAGCAGTTGGGCAGAGCTGTGTGTGACTGACCTTAGGAATTATGGCCCCTTGACCCTCAGAAGTGTGTCAAGCCTCTGGCCCAGCACCAGCTCACTAATGCCAGTAGGCACTTTGTGCAGTAATTTCTAGTGAGAGATACTCAAGTAATCTGAGCTTGGTTGTTATTTTTTTTTTCCTGCAAGATTAAATTGAAATTGTTTAAAACGTTTTCAGATGACTTTCTTTCAGAGTAGGTACTTGAAGAGCTATGCTATTCTTGTTCTTGCATTTGAAACCACATCTAAGACCAAAGAGAAGTCCTACTGTGTTGCTCTGGCAATTAGCTTTTACGGTTTGTCAGAAGTACTTCTTTCTTGTCGATGAAATCTCTTTTGACTTAAACTGCCAAAAACGTAGTTTGAATTTCATTCAGATTTTCATAAAATGGGTATGCAGTATTTTCAATTTGGCCTACTTTTTTGGGGGGGAGGGGGCGTATCTAGGTCTTAAAACTTAAGTGCTGCAATTTTGGCTGCCTCTGTGTTACTGACAGCGGCTGGGTGGAGAGGATAGCCGTAAGGAAGAATTACCAGCTCAGTCTTTGCCACCCACAGACCTGCCAGTTAAGGGGACTAATTAGCGGAGACAGAAAGGTGGCGAGTTTTGTGTTGGGAACGAGCTGCGCGCAGCGCTGGAAAAGATCACAGTGTTTGCTCTTCGCGTATGATTTTTGACTACAGAATTACAAAGGAAGATGTGGTCTGTTAATGCCGTAATATGATTACGCAATGCAACAGATTGCGGTGGATCAGGAAAGGTGACCTACTTATTCGGGTGACATGATTGACCCGTGTCAGCTGATGTATGAAGGCAAGATTCCCTTTGCTCTGCAGCAGCACAGCTCTGTCCCTGGGCAGTGTTTGTTCCTGTCCAAAAAACCTGATGATTTTCGCCTCTCTATTTCAGCACGCTCCTTATATTCAGAGCAATTCCTTCTTTGCTTCAGCAAAACGTAACTAGCACGCTCTGAGAATATTGATATGCGGCTGTATGAAATTTTTCTTATAGTTGCAAATGAGATAATTTCAGCGAAAGCATTCGTTGTAGATTTACTAAGCTAAAATGGCACTTCTCATTTAATCTGTGTAGAACGTCACAAGCGAGATGGTTTAAAAAGTAAGCCTTGAATGTGTGATGACTTAAAAATGGGTGTATTTTGTGAGGAACGTGTAATACTGTCTCGTTGAGGCTTATGAAACCAATCAAGAGTAGAGTTTCTGATTAATGCATACGACAAACTTCCTTGCTTTGTCGATTCGTTGAGTTTTTACATTCACATTTTTAATTTCAGCAACGTTATTTCAGAAATGGCAGTTAAAAAGCAATCCCGAGCTCAGAGAGCCGTGAGGATATCCAATCGCATTTCCTTGGAATTGGATGAGGATGGTCAGAGAATTAAGCCTCAGTCTTTTGACTCCAGAAGGTATTTTTGTTGCGTTTCCTTCCAACAGGAGTGTGCACTCAGTTATTATAATCAGATATTATTTTTGGTTCAGCTGCACATATTCTTGTTACTGTGATACTTCAGAGATTAAAGAATTTCCTTAAATATTTTTCGAGAAGACACTGTCAGTGTTACAATTAACTTCTGTAAGAACACACTAGTTAACTTTAACCAGGTAATCAAATAACGTGCACTTTTTTAATACTAAGTTTTGGTTAACTAAAAATACTTGGTACTGAAATGGAATTGTGTTTATTTTAACTAGTTTAATTTATTTTCACTTATGCATGATACAATTTTATATAACTTTCTTAACTTTTTGGGAAATGGAGACTTTGAAGGCTTACTATCATTAAATTGAAAACTTTGATAAATATTCTATGTTTACAAAAGTTTCATCTGATCTCTTGGGTCTTTAAAGAGATTTTTAAAGTTGTTTTTTAATTTTTACCATCTTGTTGGTGGTCACCTTGTGGTCACCTTTAATTTTTACCACCTTGTTGTAAGTCATTTCGTAGCTGATTATTGTCTGTGTCATTATAATTGTCTATGAAATTAACTTCATTATTTACATGATGTTTTAAGGGTACTCCTTAAATTTATCTTGCTCCTAGTTTTATGTGACCAGTCTATTTCTTAATGAATTAAGTAGTGCTCTTAAATTTTTGTTTTACTCCTATAAGTTGTGCTTTCTTGCCTGCAGTCTTTTGATTTTCCCACGCTGTTCATCATCACATTCCTTCTCACTATATTCTTTCTCTAGCAGTTCTGGTTTTAGTTAGATTAACTTCTCCAATCATTAATTTATTTTGCAAAGTAATCCCCTTTTCTTAGGGTTGGGGGCTGGAAGTTGAGCCATTTGTGTTTAGATAGATAATGCTGAAGACAGAATTTGTAAAACTGAGAAAAAAAGAAGTCTAAATTTATGTGTGAGTAGATGTACAATATTCTGTCCTCTTTGGCTGAGGCATCTATTTCAATATATAATAAACAGAGAATTGTGACTTTCTGTAAGGAACAAATCAGAACATGTGCATTGAGCCATGTGGATCATGCAAAAACCGGAAAGAAGTAACTTCTCGCCAGTCATTATAAGAATGTAACCTACTTGCTGAAATGTTTCTGAGTAACTTCCTTGTTCTTGAACTACCGAACTGTTAAGGTGTGTTAAGGAAGTATCTCTTGGGCTTCTTCGGTATTTTAAGGCCAGCAAGCAGTGGTTTTCTTTTCCTGATGCAAAGCTTACAGAAAGTGCAAGAGGGGCTTCTTGTCATGGAAGCCAAAGGGAAGAAATTGAACAAGGTTCTTGATTGAGCCCTTCTGACTGAGATATTTCTCTCCTGGGGTTTTCACTCAGCTATAAGCTGCCAGTTTGAGGAGCAAGGAGACCAACTTAATTGTCAGCTGCTGAATAGCTCTGTAGTTATTTTTAATATGGGGCTAATTATCAGAGAGAGTTGGTAGTCATATGAAAGTAATTTTATTATGCTGTGATTCTTGACTGGCTGTGAGAAATACTTTTAAGGTGTTGGATTAAAAAAGTTTTTCGAAGTTTGAAAGAAGAGAAATAATATCTAGAAGTATAAACTGAAAACTTGAGCTACTGCATGCTTCTACAGTGTATATTATTTTATATTTTTGCTGAACTTTTCATTTGTTAGCATACTGCAAAGTAAAGTGAATTTCACTTGTATTTGAGAACACTTATTAAACTTATGAATCTGAGAAGCTTCCTTGCCCTCTTTGTGTGATGAAACTGTAGTTGGTATACACTTCAGGAATAGTACCTTCAAACAGTTTTTAAAATCCCTTAAATGAGCAAACTGTCTCCAGTTTCAGTCCTAAGTGTCCTCCTGCATCCCTGAAAATCTAATGGGTATACCTATCTCTTGATAATAGGGAAAAAAGAATATCTAACTTTAAATCAAGTTAGTAGATGTCAATGAGATGAGTGGTGATATTGCCTTAGAGTGATTTGAACTAATCATTTTAAAATAAGTGTTCTTCCAAGTCATGCTTGTAACTTAGGCCAGTCTTACTGGGAGTTACACACAAATAGGAAAATATAATCCTAAATCAACATTCTTTTAAGGTTCTGTAATTAGATGGCTCTATGCTGAAATAGATCCAGATCAGTAGCACACAATATGACAGAGCAGGTTTGCAGAAGAGATCATGGCCATCAGAAACCTGCAGTAAATCCAGAGAGGTGCAATTTTAAGGTCAGGAGGGGCAAGTATTGGCACGGTAAGAGTGAATGTGTAATAGCATAAAGCAGAAACTATTGGACTATTTCAGCGGAAGGTTTTATGATTAAAAGAATCATTTGTTTTGAAGTTCAGTGTGTTCTACAGTAAAGGCATTGGTTTTACTTTATTTCCATTTATTAGAAAGTTTATTTCATTACTTGTTGAACTCTGTTTTTTATTTTTTTTAATATAGGCTTATGCTAAAGATAAATATGGTTAAAAATAGATGGTCAGAGTGAAATATTTTTATGTTCAGAAGAGAGAGCATCAGGGTAATGCTATTTAAAATATATCATACAGATATACTTTGAGTGTTTGCCATATGGCAGAGGAGATGGCTGTGTAATCTTCCAAAAAGGCTATTTATGTCATAAAGCAGGAATTGTTTGATGTAGATGTTGCCTTTTTCTCTTCCTGAATTGTGCAATGTTTTTAAGAGGGGAAAAAACTCAACTCACCAGATTCACTTTTTAGTTGCAACTTTGTAAAACTACTCGAGTGCTGTGGTTTGATACTGTTTAGCTTTGTTCAGATTCCTAAATATTTCAGTAAAAAATGACTGCAAAGATAATGTCTGGTTTATGCCCATTCTTTCGCACAAAAATGTTTTGGGAAGCTCTGTTACAGACGAATAATGAAGTCATAAACACTTTCTCTGGTTAAAAGCCTGAGGATTCAGTACGAGTCACTATCTTTTTTTTTTTTTTTTCCTCCAGAGATCTGTTAGTTCATGAGAGTATTTTGTGCTTTTAAATATTTTCTGGCAATGTTGTGAAATGTTGTGAAATACTAAATATCATTTTTCTTTTTTGTTTATAGAAGTCTCAAAGTAGGAAAGAGGCTTAATATATTCGCTAAGGCTTCTACAGAAAGAGAAAATGCACTGAAAACAGGTTAGTGGAAATTCAATAATGAAAAAAAACCAGTGAAGCCAAGTTCTGAATTTTTAGAATATCAAGAGATTCACTGTTGTGAAGGAGACTTATGACCTGTTAACTTCCTGCTTTCAGATCTATAAAAAAATGAATAATGTAACTCCAATTTTTAGCAAGCAGAACTTCCTTGCAGTGTAATAGATTTTTTTTTTCTGGTGCTAATCAGGACATTCTGTTACTGACCTTGAAGGGTAAAACTGACTTTTGGTCACTAAGGCCAATCTTTCTCCTGTGAGAGTAAAACCAACCTAGAATGGTTTTGTCTGCTCCAGTAGCTTATTTGGACAAGTTGCAAACTTGCTGCATTCGTCTGGACAGGCTGTAGAGCTGGGCAAAGGGGAACCTCATGAAGTTCAATATAGATAAATGTAGAGTCCTGCATCTGGGGAGGGATAACACTGGGCACCAGTACAGATTAGGGGACGTCCTGCTGGAAAGCAGCCCCATGGAGAAAGACCTTGGAGTCCCAGTGGACAGTGAGTTGTCCATGGGACAGCAATGGGCCCTTGTGGCCAAGAGGGCCAATGGGATCCTGGGGAGCATTAAGAAAAGTGTGTCCAGCAGGTCTAGGGAGGTTCTCCTGCCCCTCTACTCTGCCCTGGTGAGACCACACCTGGAATACTGTGTCCAGTTTTGGGCTCCCCAATTCAAGAGAGACAGGGACCTACTGGAGAGAGTCCAATGGAGAGCTGTGAGGATGATTAAGGGACTTGAACATCTCTCCTATGAAGAGAGACTGAGAGAACTGGGGCTGTTTAGCCTTGAAAGGAGACAACTGATCTTATTAATATATATAAATATCTGAGGAGTGGGTGTCAGGAGGAAGGGGACAACCTGTTTTTGGTGGTGCCCACTAATAGAACAAGAAATAATAGGTTTAAGTTAGAACATCAGAAGTTCCATCTCAACCTGAGGAGAAACTTCTTTACTGTGAGGGTGACAGAGCACTGGCACAGGCTGCCCAGAGAGGTTGTGGAGTCTCCTTCTCTGGAGACTTTCAAAACCCACCTGGACGCGTTCCTGTGTGGCTGCACTAAGTGATCCTGCTCTTACAGGGGGATTGGACTAGATGATCTCTAGAGGTCGCTTCCAACCCCTGACATTCTGTAATTCTATGATTTTGTGGCAAAGGAACATGAGGGTGTGACCCCAGGGAAACAAGTGTACTCTACAGGTGGGTAAGTGTAAGCAAGGTAGAAAGAAAACAAGACCATGCATTTGATTGCTTTGTGGCCTTGCTTAGTGTTGTGCATGTAGTTTGAAAGATCCTGTAAGTGGTGAATGGACACCTTGTTTTACCTACTGTAAAGCTCTTCATATATGTTTAGAATCATACAATGCGTTGAGTTGGAAGGGACCTTTAAGGGTCATCTAGTCCCATCCTGCCTGCAATAAACAGGGACGTCTTTAACTAGATCCAGTTGCTCAGAGCACTGTCCACCCTGATCTTGAATGTTTTCGGGGAGTGGGGCTTCTACCACCTCTCTGGACAACTTGTGCCAGTGTTTCATCACTGTCAAAAATGTTTCATCGTTGTAAAAAATGTCTTTCTTATATCTAGTCTATATCTACCCGCTTTTAGTTTAAAATCATTACCCCGTGTTGTTTCACAACAGGCCCTGCTAAAAAGTCTGCCACCACCTTTCTTATAGGTCCCTTTTAAATAGTGAAAGGCCACAGTAAAGTCTCCCTGGAGCCTCCTCCAGGCTGGACAACTCCAGCTCTTGCAGTGTGTCCTCACAGGAAAGGTGCTTCAGCCTTTTGTTCGTTTTTGTCACCCTTTTCTGCACTTGCTCCAACAAGTTGATATCCTTCTTGTGCTGAGGACCCCAGAGCTGGACACAGTACCCCAGGTAGAGTGTCACCAGAGCAGATTAGAGGAGGGGTAGACTCACCTCCCTTAACCTGCTGGCCATGGTTATTTTTTTGGGCTGCAAGTGCACGTTGCCGGCTTGTGTTCAGCTTTTCATCCACTCCCAAGTGTTTGTTGGCAGGGCTGCTCTCAATCCCTTCATCTCCCAGCCTGTATCAATACTGGGGATTGCCCTCACCCAGGTACTGGACCTTGCGCTTGGCCTCATTGAACCTCATGAGGATCACATGGGCCTACCTCTCCAGCTTGTCCAGGTGCCTCTGGATGGCATCCCATCCCATCCCATCCCATCCCATCCCATGCCATCCCATCCCATCCCATGCCATCCCATCCCATGCCATCCCATGCCATCGTCCTGTCAACTGCACCACACAGCTTGGTGTCATCTGTAGAGTTACTGAGGGTGCCCTCGATCCCCCTGTCTACGTTGTTGATGGAGATACTGATCAGCAGTGGTCCCAGTATGGACCTCTGAGGGACATCACTTGTCGGTGATCTCCATCTAGACATTGAGCTGTTGACCGCTGCCCTCTGGATGTGACCGTCCAACCAATTCCTTATCCAACAAATACACATGCCAAAACTCACCGAAGATAAAAACTAATGGCAAAACAGGTGTGACCTACCTTTGTGTGCAGTGAATGGCACAGCGCTGCAATGTCTTAATGCCACGTGAGGGAGGGAGCTGTCACCCACAAAAACTTGGCTTAACTGCAGATTGGGTTTTGGGTAAGAGCATGTGAGTAAGGGCAAGTCATGTAAAGAACTCGCTCCCTCACTTTTCTTTCTAAACAATGAAAACTCTTCATTGTTAGCACTGAGCTTTAATAAGCTCGTTTTCATAAGCTATGCTGAGGCCCTTTGGAAAAAAAAATAAATAAAAAAAATATTCCAGTATAGTGACTTAGGATTATACATAAAGCCAGCAGCTGCAGAAGAAATAGTATTCGCTCTGATATCTTAGGAAATGATAAATATTTGTTTCTGTTTTGACAGTAGGACTGCAAGATTTCTAGCAGAGTAGTTTTCTTCTTTTTTTACACTTGGAACTGCAGAAAGAAATTAATTTGCCTACTTTATTTCCTTAGTAAAATGTCAGATACTGCTATCTGCATATTTGCAAGCAGCTGTGAGCTTTCTGAATGCAGCCATCTCTGTAGTGGACTATGAAAGTTGCTTATTAGAATGGAACTCAATTTGCTATTTAAGACTGCCGATTTCCTTAAAATCAGTCCATTTTGCATATAAAAATGTGACAATCGATGCAGTGTTAAACTGTTTTGGAAAATGTGATGTTCAAGTAATGGATCTTTGAACTGAATCAAATTTACTCAGGTAAAATGATGAAAATTTAACCTTTCTTTTTTTTCATGAACACAGTGCAGGCACAATGACACACAGTAGTCACCCTAGAGAAAAAGTTGAGATTTTTTTTTTTTAACATAAAACTGGAGTGTGCACAAATTGTGTAAGAGAGCAAGTGGACTTTACTGGATTTGTAATTAGATATTAGAAAGTAAGCTTCTTTCAGCTTTTTATGTGATGTTTCCCTGTTTGATTCTAGGAAGCCTTGAAGAAATCTACAGTATGTTCTAAGCCACGAAGCTTATTACTTGGCTTATTGACTAAGCCTGATGACAAAAAAAGAAATTTGCATTAATCTCAGGAAATACCAGTGGGATACATGATACCTTAATTCATTTGCTTTCACTTTCTTGGCTTGTGTTAGTGGAGATAGTGAGTTAAAATATTATTTATACATGACAGAAAAGCAAGTTCTGTGGTATGTATTAAATATTTATTTTGAAAACCAGAATGTTAACTGGAGAGTACATTGGCATCCTGAAAAAATTATTAATAACTGTAAATGTAAAGTATCAGTAACTGTTAATCTCTTATACAGAGGTGAAAATACAATGTTTATCACTTTTACTGCAGGCATGAAAAGTTGAGTTTTTACTCCTTTCTATTATAACATTTATTAGTAGTGCATTAATAGAAGGCATTTTTTCAGACGTGTACAATAATTTCATTCTGGTGGCTTGTCATGTCTTTTATCTGTATTATATTCCTGCCTCCAGCCCTCAAATCAGAGTAGGCAGCTAGGGAGCATAGTTTTGGAAATTTTCCTCCTAAGTAAGAAGTAATTTGAAAAAGTATCTGCTGAATTAACACAAAAAATGAAAACACTTTTCAATATGTAAAAATTCTGTTTGCCCATTCATTTTGTTTTTTCTTGAAGGAGAGGGGGTAAGAATTTGTGGTAGCTTTTTTTTTTTTTTAATCCAGTTGAGGTGTAAGCCACTGAGCCAAAGAGGAAATTCTATCTTTGTTTCAAAAGCTTATGAGGAGTAAAATAATAGCTGATTGGCCACGACCCACTTCAAATGGACTGTAACATTTGAATTCACATCAAGATCTCTGTTCTGAGAGGGGCAGACAAGAAAACAAAAAGGAGCGCGACTTGGGCCAGCTCATGAGACAGCAGCAGCCCGAGGCACTCCCAGCGGTTCCTCCCTGTCCGCTGGTAACAGCTTGTTCCCTTCACTTCAGCGACGCGGTTCGGTCTGGGCTCGTGACCAGTTCTCCTGGGTGGAGGGGCAGGAACTCCTTAAAAGTAACTCTTCTGCTGTCTGAGTACACTTTGATTTAAAAAAAAAAATATACATATACATCGGGAATAGATGCTTTCCTAAAGGGACTCTTTGACTTCAGGAGGAGAAGAGAAAATCAGGATTTCTCAAGTCTGAGAGGCAAAAACTGGGGCACGTGGGAGTGCTGAGGAAAGAATTGAGTTGTTTCCCCAAATGAGAGTCTAGTTGTGAAGTATCTGAAAACTCCTGTTGTAGGCAAGATTTCTTTAGCAGAGTGCACCAGTCAAGTTCGGAGTTTGACATATGTGCAATTTGCGAAGACAACAAAAAGAGAAAAAAAAAAATTGTGGAAAAATTAAATTCTGGCTCTGACAGGCTTAAAAATAAATAATCCCCTAGGAGTTCACAGGAAGATTTTAGCAGACATTTAAGAGTTCAGTGGACTTTCATTTCAACAGATATTTCTCATTTGAGAACGGTGATGCTGGCATCTGAGGTAGAAAAATTTGCCCAGCTGTAAGTGTTGGTTTTCATGAAGATTAATATTAAAGGACTTTGTTTTAGCTAGTGAGAAGTCTTTGGCATACTGACAGATCTTTACAAAATTTCTTTTTCAGTATCTTCACCAACAATTTGGGATGTGGAATTTGCGAAGGAGATTGCAGCAGTAACTGCACAGCCTCCCCGAAACGGTTTTGAGGAGATGATTGAGTGGACAAAAGAAGGAATATTGTGGGAGTTCCCAATTGACAATGAAGCCGGTAGGTGCACTGTTAACTTTTATTACTTGTCTGTATTTATCTTTTTTTGAGAATTAGAGCATGTTATGACCTTTGGCTGTTTTAATGTAGTCCTTCAGCTATGAGTCACGCATTCGATAGTAAACAAATAAAACTTTCCAAGTGTCCCAAATCAGAGATGCTTCAGCTGAACTCATTCTGGCACTCTTCAGGTGCAGTCCTGCAGGTGGTTTGACTGATCTGAGACCTGGCTGCTGCTAAAAAGGGGAGGACTCCCTCCCTCCTTTACTCCCTCAGCCCTGATGCTTTCGACACCAAGAGGCCATTCAAGTCTGTTACATAATGCCTTTTACTATGCAACTTCTTTGAAGAAGCTTCTAGCAGAGGATGGGGGAATCTTAAAACCACTGTGTGTGTTTTATAATGTAGAGCCTGTTCTTTGGTGCAGCTCTCAGACCGAGTGGCTAGTCGGATCCTCACCAGCTCTCTGCCAGTTCCCTATCTGCCCCGACTGAGTGTTAAACAGCTGTTTGCTCCCTTTGTTCTGTCTGTTTCATAAGAATAAACAGTCACAATATTGACTCTCTCTGGGCATGTATCTTAACTAGACATCTTTGTGCATGATATTTACTTACCATTTAAAAAAAGCAAAAAAACCCCTCCGTGTGAAGTTAAGCCAGCAGAGAGAGAGTGAATGTAAAGGAAGGGAAGAATAACTACACAAGCTAAGTGTACACTTTAGGAAAGGGGACTTGATAACTTCAGGGAAAGCTTGGCTGTGGATTGTGTTTAATTTTTTTAAAAAGACCTTAAAGACATCAAACAGAACTACTTTAGAATGATTCAGTCACTGAAAGCAAAACAGGTTAGCATCTGAAGCTGGGAGTCTTTGAAAATCTGTCCTGTACTGAGTTGCAAATTGCATAATGTGGTTCATTGTTTCTTAATGTTTATTCTCATCCTTTTTTGGCAGTTTCTTCACAGAATTTAATCACTGCTGCCAGAATTGATCTGTTCCATCATGTAGAAATCCAAGTATACTCTGGTCATGTTTTTGCAAGCTTAAAACCACTGTGGCCAATGGTTTTTCTGTTGTTGTAATGTGGCTGGAACCCTGCTGTCTGGGGCCGTAAGTGGACCAGGCATCTTTGGCGACCAGTGGTTTTTCTGTTGGAGCAACGCAGCCGGAACCGTGCTGTCTGGGATGGGGTGGCCAATGGACAAAGAGTCTTTACATATACTTCGACAAAATCTTTATTGATTTGTCCACAAAGGCTAGTCATGTGGAAAATTCCAGTGGAGCGTTCCAAAATCTATCACCTCTCAGGTTGAAATATCAAGTCAGTAAATTCCATCCTATCAGACTGCCAGCCCACAGGCTTTTAATCAGGTCAGGTATGTCAAAGCACAGTTAGAAGCTTGAGAACCTTGCTCCGATCTCATTAACATACTGTAATTTCAGGGGCTCTGCAAAAGAAAGATGCCCCTTCCTACTGTTAATTTTGCGGTTTTGTAACAGTCATTTCCCTCAGTAAGAGAATATTGTCTCAGCTTGTTCTCTATCAAGAAATGTGTGATTGTGCTTTTTATACCACAAGCATGTGGCTTTAAACACCTAAGTATAATTACATTTTCTATTGAGGAAGCACGAATTCTGCGCTTTTAGCATTGTGAAAGCCTTCAAGGCTTTAAATAAAATACAAAAAAAGGGAAGAGGAGCACTTACAATTGTTTTTCTTGGCTCCAGAGTATCTCCAGTGTTCTCATTAGACTGCTTTACCAAGGCATTGTGCTGTGCTTTGAGGCATCAGGGCAAAATTATGATTTTTTGAAACTTCTGTGTCTCTGGTGTGAACATCTGAAGGTGTGACTAAGTGTGCTGGCTTGCCACTGTGACCAGTAGCAGGCTTTCCCCACACCCTGCTGCCGTGGTGTCTGCTCCTGCCTGTCTGCCTTTTCCCTTATTTGATGCAGTTAAAGTCACTGTTAGACAGAAAACTACCTTTTTTTTTCCTCTCAATCTCTCTGACCTCTAATTAATTTTTAGCAGATTAGCAAGCCAGTAGCATAGCTTGCATAACATTGTTCTCTCTCCTCTTTTCTGCCTGCCTGTTTTGCTTCTATTTGCTTTAGTTGTGCTCCGTGGCTTGCCATAACAAAAAGTTGGGAAAAAAGTTGATTTCTACCCCTTTTTTACAGTTATTTCTGTGTGCTTATGCCCGGATTACTCCAGTCCTGAGGACTGCAGTCATTAAAAAGGACAGTGCAGATTACTGATGCTACTCTGCTTCAGCACCTCATTCTAGGGAGCAAATGCTTCTGGTGGGCCAGAGACTTTACGACAGAAATGATAGGCTTAATGGAAGTCTCAGAAAATTAATGCCTCAGTTGCCTTGTGTGGCTTCTGTAGGTAAAAGTTCACCAAGTCCTGTTCTTGCTGTTGTGCTGAGATGTGTTCTCAGCAGAGAAGCTCTGGATCAGTTTGTCAAGACAGGTGGCAAACGTTACATAACCAGATCATGATACTTCGTCACCTTTTTAGCATATCAGCAATACTCCCCAGAAGGATGAACATCTACATTTGAGCTGTTATCTTTAAGACAAGGTTGATTGTGTCTTGCATGGGTTAGTGTTTTAGCTAAAGAAATCATAGAATAATAGAGTGTTCCGAGTTGGAAGGGACCTCTAGAGATCATCTAGTCCAACCCTCCTGTCAGAGCAGGATCACCTAGGACAGGCCACAAAGGTGGGTTTTGAAAGTCTCCAGCGAAAGAGACTCCACACCCTCTCTGGGCAGCCTGTGCCAGTGCTCTGTCACCCTCACAGTAAAGAAGTTTCTCCTCATGTTGAGGTGGAACTTCCTACGTTCTAACTTAAACCCATTATTTCTTGTTCTATTAGTGGGCACCACAAAGAAGAGGTTGTCCCCTTCCTCTTGACACCAAGTTCTCAAATATTTATAAACGTTGATAAGATCCCCTCTCAGTTGTCTCTTTTCAAGGCTAAACAGCCCCAGTTCTCTCAGTCTCCCTTCCTAGGAGAGACGTTCAAGTCCCTTAATCATCCCCGTAGCTCTCCATTGGACTCTCTCCAGTAGGTCCCTGAATCTCTTGAATTGGGGAGCCCAAAACTGGACACATTATTCCAGGTGTGGTCTCACCAGGGCAGAGCAGAGGGGCAGGAGAACCTCCCTAGACCTGCTGGACACTTCTCTTAATGCACCAGACTTTCTGTTTTGTGTAGTATGTAGGGGATTGGAAATAGGATATTGGGAGTGGGTTAATTTTTGCTATGAGGTTGGTAAAGAAAATCTTCTACTCTGCATGTTGTTTCAAATGAGGTTTCTGAGGACAGTGCAAGAGAGGCTGAGGAACAGACTTGTTCTTCCCATGCCGCTGGAGTCATGGCTTGCTGCGGTGGTGGTGGGGAGTTGCACGAGCTTATCTCATCTAATCAGTTCCCACCAGAGGTCTCAGCCTCTGATGCTTTGGGCAATTGTGGTCTCTTTGTGTGATGCACACTTTACTTTTTTGAGGGCTTAAATATGTGGTCTAACTGAAACATTTGGACTTGACGCTTCATCCTCAAACCACATAGCATGTCTTCGACAAATGGGAGATCAAAATACGTGATGTAATATTTCCTTCTGACCTGCGTTTTTGTGAGACATTAAGTGGTTTAATTTCTTTTGAGTTAGAGATGAAAATTGATGAAATTATTAATTAGACATAATGTCCATTTCCCCCCCCCAACAGCGTCAAGATGCATTATTTGGATCCTTTCTATACTGAGTTTGTTAGATTAATTCTCATGGATTTTTGGGGCTGTTGGAGTGCGTCCAGAGGAGGGCTACCAAGATGGTCATGGGGTTGGAACACCTCTCCTATGAGAACAGGCTGAGAGAGTTGGACTTGTTCAGCCTGGAGAAGAGAAGGCTCCGGGGAGACCTTGTAGCAGCCTTCCAGTACCTGAAGGGGGCCTGCAAGAAGGCTGGGGAGGGACTTTTTACAAGGGCCTGTAGCCACAGGACAAGGGGTAATGGGTGGAAGCTGGAAGAGTGTAGGTTTAGATGAGATCTAAGAAAAAGTTCTTTACCCTGAGGGTGGTGAGGCACTGGCACAGGTTGCCCAGGGAGGTTGTGGATGCTCCATCCCTGGAAGTGCTCAAGGCCAGGCTGTATGGAGCCTTGAGCAACCTGTTCTAGTGGGAGATGTCCCTGCCATGGCAAAGGGGTTGGAACTAGATGATCTTTGAGGTCCCTTCCAACTCAAACCATTCTATGGTTCTATGATCCAGGTACAGTGAGATTCCGCCTTCCCTTGGTGGGCGAAAGTTGGCATGGGTGGCAAAGGATAAAGGGATCATTGCTGCACTTCTCTAAGTGGACACAGGTTTCCAAGCACAACAGAAATATTCATCCTGAAGCTAACATAAAGGGAAAGGAAGAACTTCTGAGGAAGAAAATATGCTTTATTTTTCAAGGACAAGGGAGATAAATGTGGCATGTAGGTGGTATTGATACACTCATGTATTTCTGCGAAAAATCTGTGGGGAAAAATAGAGATATTCCCCAGCTCTGTCAGATATTGCAATACTTAAAATTTGAAAGAGGTAACGTGAACTTAATGTCTACAGGGCTGAGAGACTTCTCCATCCCAGAGCTGTGCATCAATTATTCTGAAACTAGAAGCTCTAACACAGGAGGGAGTCCAGGACTGACATAGCTTAATTACCTCAATTTTAATACTTCTGCTTTAATGTTCTCAAATAATATATTATATCCTAGCTAGTATAGATAACTACGTACACTTAAATCTATTATGTCTACACTTCCCGTTTTTGTTATCTGGAAATGACTATGTGTAATATTTTTCTCTAATGACAGAATTTTACTTAAAGGTGCAAATGTCATTTACAACTCCCTAGCAAATTGAGATAAAATATAAATTTTCCTGTATCCCTAGCTAAAGAAAAGTCTTTTACTTGCAAATCCCAGTTTGCCTTGTTTGTTTATCTCAGAATTGGGAACCATGAAAACAGCCTTTTTTCTGTATGTAGAAATTGGTGTCGTGAATCTGTCTTGTGTACGGTAGCATCACGGTCCAAACTGCAGCGAACCACAGGTCAGAGAGCAAAATTTTACCGCAGGATCTGAGCTGTGCGAGATTAGAGATCTACAGTAATCCCTTGTCCCGTGTTCCTGTGGCTGCTTTTGAACGCATCGGCTTTTGTGCTGGTTCTGACTTAAAAGTAGCAGCTGGGAAGATAGATGCACAACGGTCTTAAATCAGCGTACCCTCACAGCTTCAGAAAGTGTTAGAAAAATGATTTTCGGTGCCCATTTAATAGCAGTAGGATGTTAAAACCGTTGCTTGGCATGAACATATAAGCATGTGTTGGTTGGGCAGTATTAGCTACTTCATGAGGTTGGCTCATTTGTTCAAGACTAGCTTGGATGCTTTAATCCTCTGCAGAATTTAGGCAATTGGTGTTTTCTTATGGAAGTTATTAAGAAAGCATCCCCGATATAAAAGGTGATAGCCGTGATGAATCAGAATTTTCACTTACTGAACAAACAGATTTTTAGCAAGAAGATGTATTAATTTATATTTTTTTATTATTCCCCCCAGCTCCCGCCCTGGCATCAGTTTTCAGTGAGATTAACAGTCAGGAAGTTGATTTAATTATTGGATATTCTTATAAATGAGGCTGCAGAATGAAAGTAATACATTATACAGGAGTATGATATATGCTGGCATTTCTTGGGTGGAGGGAGAAATGAATGTCTGAAAATTTTGCAGTTTCTTTCACTTACGTGTCATTGGCTTAACTGTGCAAAAGAGGCGCAGAACCATTAATATTACTAACTTATTTGTAAACTGTATTCTTTTCTGCTTTGTTAAATTTACTGTTATGATAATAGCTTTGTCTTTTGGTTTTTTTACCCTTCTGTTAGGGATGGAGGATGATGCTGAGTTTCACGAACATATATTTCTGGAGAAACACCTCGAAGACTTTCCCAAGCAAGGACCTATTCGCCACTTCATGGAACTAGTCATCTGTGGGCTTTCCAAAAACCCATACCTCAGTGTTAAACAGAAGATTGAACACATTGAGTGGTTTCACAAATATTTTGAGGAAAAGAAGGAGTTTCTTCAAGAGATTTGAAACTTAGGAAGGTGCTTAACCTTGACATTACATCAAAATTGATGATGTCTTACAATGGAAATACTGCCAGCGCATAGTAATCATCTGACCTGAAAGTTGTATTTTAAATAATAAACTGAAAAAGTCAGTGTCATGTGTGTATTTCCATGTGTATGTAGATGTTTATGACAAAAGGTGGCACTGAAAATTACAGCTTTTATAGAATGTGCATTTAAAGTTCAGTTTATCAAAATGGTTGTCTTTTATTGAAACTGATCTTTTGGTCATACAAAATATTAGGTTTAATTCTACTTCCTTCTCCCTTGGTGTGTATCTTGACAGGTTTGATCATCTTTCCCATTCTGAAAGCAGTGCTTTCATTTTTAAAAATAACTTACTGAGCTAGTAACATTTCATTTTGCTAATTCTGTAACTGTGCAGGTATTTGAATAGTATTAAAACCTTTCTACTCTCCTTTCCTTAAGTATCTTTATTGGCTCCCTTTAAAATTCTTGGTAATGAAAAGTCATTTGCGTGGAATACTTGTTAATTCATCTGCTCAGTGTAAAGCTACTGTATTTCTGAGATGTATGCACTGCATAATACTGCTGAGTTGCATAAAATAATACAGGAGGTCTCTCCTTACCATCCACACATCCACTTTGAAGCATTTGACCAGCCTCCTGTCGGTATTTCTTGTTCAAAAATGGGTCTAGCTGTCAATTAATCCATAAAATTCTGTTTCATAATTTTTGTTCTTCGTTTTAATTCTTATTCTCTCACATTCACTGTCTCACATTCTCTCACTCAACCACTTCAGCAGCTCTCGGCATTATAAATACGCTCCTGTTGTTTTTCTCACGTTTCCACGTGACTCAGACAGGAGGGAGGAAGTTGCGGAATGAAGGTAAAACGCGCTTCATCCGCAAACAGACTTACAAGAAAGCAAATGAAAAATAAAGAGTTGGCCTTTCTCTCCGAGTTGGAATATTGCTGCTGTGTTCTGCTCAGCTGCAGGATGGGGGCTTGCCTGTGTGACAAGGGACAAGACTCCAGGCTGTGGAAAGGAAAAGTGGCTTTTTGTCTTTCTAGCTGCGGGAACAGCAAAGTTCAAATTCTGCAGAAATTTTCAGAAGCTTCCTGGCTTTCGAATGGAGCGGGTAGTTCTAATTTTCAGTTCAATGCCCAGATACATTTTACTTCAAAAATACCATTCTTCCTAAATTTCTACTAACCTGTGCTGCACAGCCTGTATTCTGCAGTATTTCAGGCCTTTTCTAGAAGAAGGTACAGTCACTTTGAATTCATTGTGGGCTCTTAGAAATAGCTCCTCTGCATGTTTGCATTCAGCCTGTGTTTTGATGTGAAAAACAGGACACTCACAAGCTCGGCTCTTGCTGGCCGAGGTTCAGGAGCATTAGCCGTGCAGGAGAGCTCTGAATTTCACAGCACTGGGAGCGAGGTGAATGTTATCATTTAAACAGATTCATTAGGAGGTCGGTACTTCGGCGAGCTCTTAACAAGAGCTCTTGGTGCTTAGGATCTTTGGAAAGCTGTAGTAATTCCTACTTAGGTGCTTAAATATAGATTTGAGAGTTAATACTCGGCAACAGGATTTGAATAATCAGACCTAGCTGCACATACGTACAGATGCTTACTGGGACTGCTCAAGGCACATGAAGAGGGCCCAAGTGGCAGGGCTTTTATGTGTGTGGGTTTTTTGGGGTGTGCACTTCTTGGTAGTCCCAAAGGAGTAGGCTCACAGAAATTTAAAGCATTGTTTACAGATTAGTCACTTAGGAGCATGAAAATCATCCCTTTCTTTTGCAGCCCAAAGGATAAAAGCTGTCCACCGTTGTTCGGAGCGAAGCCAGCGGTGAAGCTAGAAGCTAGTCATTCCCACGCTAGAGTCATTCAAGCTTTTCTTATGATAGTGGTTTTTTTCCCCTCTTGCAACTGGTTAAGTGGTTTTATGTGTAACTTAGTGGATTCAACATTAGAACTTTTCTGAGGCAAACCAGTGTTTGTTATGTTCTGCGGTCTTAACATTTCCTTCTTTATGCATGAAGCTGAGGTCTTGTTATTGCGCTACTAGTGCCATTCCTCCATGACCTCTGTGTTGGAAAGTTCTCTGACTTTAGGGGTGCTGGGGCAGTTGATGCTGCCCTGAGAAGAACAAGAAGGTGGAACAAACTGGCCCGCGGCCTAATTGTGGGGAATGTTGTTCATGGCCCATTTTTAGGTGACAGTTTTTCTTCTGAGATGGCTACAAGGGGTATCTAGCAGAAGAAGAACATCTTACTGAGTGGAGGTGGCTGAGGTACTATAAAGTTGCATGCAAAGGTGTTGATGACAGTTGATAGCACTATGAATCATGGTCATGACTTCCCCAGGCTGACAGCTACACTGTGAAGAACTCCCAAGCTCCCTTTTGCCCCCGTTTCCACCCAGACAGTCTCCATTTTCCCCATGTGTGCTGCTACTGCAGCAGTTTCAGAGGGTTTCTGGCCATCTCAGAGGAGGTGGAGTCACTGGTGCAGACAGAAGCCCTGGCAGAGGGCAGCGACTCTGCATTGGCAGAGTGAGGGAAGAAAAAGGGGAATGAAAGGCTCCCATATGGTTTGTGAAAGTGCAATAGAGAAGTTCAAGGCATAACATCTATTATCTGCCTGTCTTTGTCCGTGTAACTTCTTTACCTCTGCTTCCCAAAGGCCATCCTTGCCATGCCCTGCCAATGGCTGAACTGATTATTGAATTTAAATTAATCCAAAGCACTTGGTCACAATCCAGCTCCATGTCTCCCTCCGCCTAACTGGACAGGTCAGAAATTGGGCTGGAAAACCCCAGACTTCTCAAGGATGGCCCCTTGTCAAAAGGGAAGGATAGGAGTGAGTAGGGTGACAACCCCATGAAGGGCTGAGTAATTTATTGTGTTAATGCAGGCAGTCTCAGTGAGGTGTGTGAGTGCCGGCCCTGTGGGTTGGGTGCTAGTCCAAACCTTGTCTCTGACATCTGATGGCACCCTTGGTCTTCTCAAACCTATTTGATATGAATGGTTTGCTAGAAGTCAAACTCGAAGTACTTTCTTCCCTGCTACGAAGCCAGTGTGAGTGTTTGCTCCCCAAAGTGGTCTTAGAAAGAGGCTGGAGGAATGACTGTATGGTTTGGTTGCAAGATTTTCTGTGCTGGGATTTCAGCTCTTGGTGTTCGTTCCTACCAAAAAATTACACTGGCATTGATGTGGCCTGTGCCCTAACAGGGGAGCTGTACTCCTTGAAGCTTGTCCAAGCACTGGGAGAAAGGTGGCTGTGGCTTAATTTAACCCTTCTGACCCAGCAAAGGAGCTAAAATGAATGGGGGAAATAGGGAGGACAATCTTGCGCATGTTCCCTAACCTCAGGCAGTTTTTGCTTCAGCCATGTATTTTTAGATGAAGAGGAGCACTAAAGGAGTCCTGGAGTGCTACTCAGGTCCATTTTCTTTCAGCGCTTACAAAGATGATAACATTCCCGCATGAAAATAGCTCCTCATCAGAAGCTTGTGCTTTGATGAGAAGCCTGGAGCATAAAGGCATTTATGTGAGAGGGACCACGCTATTGCTTTCAGTGAGGATTTAAAAGCAAGTAGTCTCAGTTGGGTTTGTGAGGATCACTTAGCAGAACGATGGTCGTGGACAGAGAATGACGACTTCTGAGGTTGCAGGGCCTGGTTTTCACTACAGACATGTGTGTGGGCTTTGTGAAGTCTGGCTGCTGCTGTGATGGTGTCCAGCAGGACATGGTGAAGATGTAAATCCCACCCTGCCAGGTGGCTGCAGCAATTCTGGTCTCATGATCTCCACAAGATGTCAGTGTAGATTTATTGGATTAGATATGAAATCCTCATGCTGTTCCCCCCACCCAGCAAATTAAAGCAAAAAAAAAATGTTTTAGAGCTGCACAATAGGTTTGATTGTGCTTTGGCATGTGTTGCCCATAGAGGAGGGACATGGTGAGCACTGGCATCCAGGGAGGGACGTGAGTGACACCCCGAGATGAGAGCAAAGCTCCTGGCAAAAAAGGGCAACGCTTCGCTCATATCAAGCTGCCCTTACTCCCTTGGGGACGAGTTGCATATGTGTAGTACGCAATATTGCACTTGTGCAATAAAGTGCTCTACGTTTTACTCAAAGAAAACCTGGAAGCCTGAAGAAAAACTAGAAGGGCCAGACTGGGTGACAGGAAGGATCTAAGGGCAATTGAGTCGAGTCATGTATTGGAGAAACTTAATTGCTGGCATGCAGTATCCAAAGCTTGCTTTGTTTCTTTACTTAGAAAATGTGATCTTGCAGTGTTGAGCAATGAGCTGTGACCCTGCAAAGAAACCAAGACATAGCGTCCAACCCAAGGGTGTTCCCTTTCACCTTTTAGCTCTTTTGCATAGCAATCCCTGCCTGTCAGAGACACTTTTTTATGCCTGTTGAGGTGAATTCAGGTAGATGTCAGCCGCAGAGGAGTTTTTCCTTGGAAGAAGATTCTCTGAAGCACTGGCAGTGGTGGTGGAGACGCCTGTGTGGGAGTGGGTTTCCCATATCACTGTGGGCTCGGCTTCTCCATATCACTGTGTTGCCCAGCCTCTCCTGGGACTGCCCTGGGCATCGCTGGGCCAGCTGAGGTTCCCCTGGGCTGCCAGTTCCCAGCTGCTGCAGCCATGGTGGGGAAACGAGGCAGCATGGCCAGCAGCTGTAAGGATGTTTCAAACCCAGCTTCCCTCTCTACTCCCTGGTGTTTATTCCCATTTTCCCAATAAAAGCCAAATGCAGTGCAGACTGCCTGTCCCTGCCACCTCTCCTTGCAGTGGTGGCCTGATGTGGGTGGCCCCACTCCCACTGTTGCGCTCAAAACCCGAGGAAGCCGCTGAGTGATGATTCATTTTTGGTCCCCAGCGCTGCACCCTGTCACCCGCGAGGGAGGGGAGGGAGCGAAAGGTGACGGTATTTGTCAGTGGTGGCAGAAATAGCCACGTTTCGGATTTCACTGGGG